TGGCAACAACAGATGACAGCTGGTATCAGGGTGCAACTAAGGCTGCAGTGACAGTCTTTGACCAAAGTGACAATGAGATCAGAGTCTGGAGACCAGTGTCAAAAATAAGAGGTCACAGAAAGCATTCCTGCATAAGGAAGAAGGACTATAGTTTCAGCAATTTAGCATGGAAATCCTCAGCAAACCACTGGGTTAATCAGACCATGCAGTGATCTAAATGTGAGCTCCTGGAAGCATGAAGTCACCACTGAGAGGAGGATCAGACACGGAGCATCATTTCCACTTGGGCTGCCCTGGTGCACCGTGGCCGCACCACAACCCTCTCTCCCAGTCCCACTGGTGTGGTGCTGACAGACATTTACACAGCTCCATGGTGAATTGGTTCAGGAGACTTGAGTCAGCTGGAAACTGGGAGAACTGATTAAACCAGACCTGTACCTACTCAGGACAGTGGTAAAAGCTAAATGCACGATGAGAGGCATTCGCCCCGCACACCTCTGAACATGCTTCATAGCTTGAGAAATGTCCCTGTGTGCATTATTGCTCTTACAAACTTGTTCCCATATTCCCTAGCTTGCTGCCTAGCCCAGTGTCCCCTCTGCTATTTCTGTAACATTCTCATATTTAATACCATGAAATTTTTAAACAGTATGCTGGCTCAGGTTTTTTTGAGATCCTGCAAAGGGTTGCAGTCATGCAGTTCTGGCACTATTTTTGCTTAGCAAGCCAGGACAGAAGAGACAAGCAGGCCCTTGCAGCTCCCCCCTGGGCAACATCCTGAGGACCATAAAATGAGGGGGTGTTCCCTGGGATCAATACAACAAGCTCTGGGGGACCCCCCTCTATACACACACACACACACACACACACACACTCTCTCAGTCCCAAGTTACACTAAACACTCTGACCATCTTTTCTGTTCACTTTTTACTTCCATTTTTGCTTGTGAACCCCCAAAAGGGAAGGACCCACCTCACCTGCCTCACCAGGACAGCTCCACCAGCTCCAGCCCTCCACACTGTTTCCCAGCAAACCAGCTCCTTGTACCATTCACCTGCCTCCTCTGCTAACCCAAGGACTGGGGTTCTTTTTAACTCACTGTCAGGTCTTCAGTTAATAACTGTTTCTTGGGGGCTGGGGAGTACTTTAAACAAGAGATAGTTATGTTCCTATTTGTGTATGCTAAAAGTGAGGACTTCTATACAGAGGACAGGAATAGGGCAGCTTTTGTCTCCCTTCCTAAAAGCTACAAATTACCCGTGCTGAGTTCTGCCCTCAAATGAAGAAGCGAGCTTTCACTGTTCCATCAGACCCCAACCCCATCAATACTGGTAAATAAATTTATTACGGTCAGTGGTCTTATTACAATGGCCATTAGGTTCACAAACATCAAGGACCCATTAATAAGGTCAAGAATGTGCTCAAGTCTTTTCAAGATTAGGACCTTAATGCCATAGCATCAGCCGGCTTTCTTCATGCCTCCAGCATTAGATGTGGCCAGCTGAAATCCCCAAGGCTGCCTCCAGGCTGCCATGCACATACAGGCGAGTGCCTCTGGACTGCTCCTGGGAGTGTGATGAACTAGACATCCCTGGGCATCACTCCTCACCATGGCAGTCCTGGTGGCAGCTGTGTGTGATTCCACATGCTCTGAACTAGTGTTTGACAGTTCAGCTCCAATTAAAACAAATAAATACAAAGCCAAGCGGCAGCAGGTCAGGCTCTGGGAGGATCCATCACAATGCTGGGCCACCAGTGGAGTCCTAAGACAGTGTTTTGAGTTACAGATCACTTTGGTGGCAGCTGACAAAGCAGCACTTCAGGCAGCTCCTCTAATGGACAACACTGCACGTGCCAAAGTGTGATGAAAAGATGTAACTCCTCGTTCCACCTACTCACAGATGGTTCTTACTACCAGACAGGTGAAACCACAAGCAGGGAGAGATACAGGATATTTTATTAAGGATACAGGTGAAATGAATATATAAATCCATGTTTTCTCTCTTCCACTTACCTGGCTAGTCAAAGAAATTAACTGCCTGAGAAGGCTCTTAATTTTGATGATTCAACCCTTACTTCTCAACATAACAGCTGTGGGATCAAAAATTGACTTAGACTCACCTAGGTGATGTATTTAGTTATTTAAAAGAAAGATTAGCATGCTAATGTGTTGAAGCACTCAACACTAATTCATGACAAAGCCATAATATTAAAGTTACCTCATTCTGTCAAAATATGCTCGTCCAGTATTTCTCTCATTTTAAACCACAAATCCTTTTCAAAAAGGAATTCACAGATTATCTCAAATCCCACTACTGTTTGGCAGGTGGGAACTAGAGTGACAGACAAAACAGAGCCAACTAAAAAAATAATTACTTTAGTATCAAAAATATTTTAACTGGGCAATAACAGCAAAGAGCTAATAGGAATGGGTTACACACATACAAACTGCATGGAAATATGTGCATATGGGGATGATTTTAACTGCCTCTTTTCTGATTTTTAAATTTTTGTAGGCATTTTTTGATCTCTCTTTTGATGTCCTCTGGGCCACAAACCATGAATTGAGTAGTGCTGGTCTTTTCAGTGCCGAAGACATATTCCGACTCATCCAGCACACATGTAACAGACATTTCCCATTACAGCTTTTACACTTGAATGTACACTTTTAAGCTCTCCCTTTCATCATGAGCATTCAACAGTCCTGGGTGTGTTCAGCTGTTCCTGTTGCAGGTGAATACACACCCAGAGAACATCGCTGCAGCCAACCCCCTGAGCTGTGTACAGCCATGGAAGAAAAAAGGATACAGCATGCAATTAAAGGGATCATGGTGGGCACGGCCCTGCTTCTTGCTGATGCCATTTCACTGTGTTTTCTAGATCTCCTCCTTACTGAGGGAGTGGCTTACTGACAGGGGATAAAGGAGGGAAGCACAGGAAGGAAGCAACACACATCCTGACTAAGAAGCAGCAAATGATAGGAATAGGAAAAGAAGAAAGAGGAGGAAGGAACAAATGGATGGCAATACACAAGGAACTTTGCTGTAATGCTTAGCATTTATTATAAATACGCTTGTCATCCTCAAAAATGCTATTTGAACAGGAGACTCCAATCTAGCAAAGCAAGGCCTTTAACAGGACCCAACTTAAGCCTTAAATCCTGTGCTAGACTGAGACCCAGCTACTTAATCATCTTAATTCCCTCTCAGGTAAATATTGTCATTCTCCAGCAGATAAAGCAACGAAGCCAAAAAGGTTAAGAGATTTAGCAGCCACAGACCAGCTGAGGAAGCACAGCATGCCTGCACTGTGGAGCTCACCCCAGTGACAAGGACTGGGCCTTGCTGCAGAAACAGACACAAACTGCTGGAGCATCTACCTGTGCCTGCACCTGTGGCATGCTACAAGTCACAGTACTACACAGCTTGCTTTTGTGTTTGTTTTTTTACTTTTTTTCTCATAGAAAAACATGTCTATCCATCCTGGCATCTATGTGAAGCTGAAGAAAGAGAGAAATAAAACTGTGAGATCTCAAGCTGCAGGAATGACACCTACTGCCTGGGAAATGAACTGCTCACCTAAATGAGATCTGCACTCAGTGGGGAAGGGCTTCCACAGAACAAACCAGCACATGACACGACATGGACATGACCTGGCACTGTGTACTCAGAGCCCAGAAAGCCAATCAGATCCTGGGCTGCATCAGAGAGGGTTGGCCAGCAGGTCAAGGGAAGTGATTCTGCCCCTCTACTTCACTCTGGTGAGACCCCACCCGGAGTGCTGCATCCAGCTCTGGGGTCCCCAGCACAGGAAAGACATGGACCTGTTGGAGTGGGTCCAGAGAAGGGTCACAAAGATGAACAGCAGGATGGAGCACCTCTCCTGCGAAGAAAGGCTAAGGGAGTTGCCTGGAGAAGAAAAGGCTCCAGGGAGACCTTAATGCCCTTTTCAGTACTTAAAGGGGGCTTATAAGAAAGAAGGAGACTTTTACCAGGATCTGTGGTGACAAGGACAAGGGGCAAAGGTTCAAAACTGAAAGAGGGCAGGTTTACATTAGACACATGGAACAAATTCTTTATGAGATGGAACAGGTTGCCCAGAGAGTAGGTGCCCCATCCCTGGATGGGGCTTTAAGAAATCTGGTCTAGTGGAAGGTGTCCCTGTCCATGGCAGGGAGGTTGGATCAGATGATCTTTAAAAGACCCTTCCAACCCAAACCATTCTGTGATTCTGCATAACAGGACCAGCCCCAGTGCTGACTATGAGGGTGATCACATGAAAGCCTGCAGGAAATTCAGTGAGGGAAAGAGGTTTATTGATTTGAAGAAAGGTGTTTAATTCCTGGTAAACAGTATACATAACCCATGGGGGGAAAAAACACCTCCACCATGAACTCAGGTAAAAAATACCTTTTTTGGACAGGGAATGTGGCTAGTAGTTAGAAAATGCTCATCCACACTACCAGCTAGGCTACACAGTTTGTAGCTCAAAGCACTTGAGAGCCTGAGTTGGAGGGTCTGCAGTGCATAAGAGGAAGAGCAGGAGCACTATCTCAGTAAAAGACAAATTTGAATTTGTAGCAATAGCATTCCCTGAAGAAACTGTTTCATGAGCATTTCTAGTGGTGTTAGGGAGGACTTCCTAAACCTTTCAGCCTCCTGCTTGCTCCTACCATATATATACACCCTTTGCACATGGAAAGCGTGAATTTTCTTTTCTTCTGTCTTTTTATATAAAGACTTCATGATCCAGTTCACCCTACCAAACCACAAGTGTCTAAGTTGGCACAGCTGAGAGGAACAGGAATGGGAACTTAAAAGAAATATATAAACTAGCACTATATAAACTAGCACTGATCTTGAAACAAATGTAAGGCTTGAATGCCTACATCAAGAAGGAAAATCAAAAGTTTCTGGCCCCCACATGTGTCTGTGACTTCAGGACTGTTAAGTATCCAGGGAAATGTAATGCTTCAGTGGTTGTTGTGATGTTACAGAATGGCACTTTGGATAGTCGGAAACGTCAAGGAGGTTTCCAGGCTCAAATTTTTGGTAAGGACTTGCCCAGTCTGTCTCCTCTGAGTAATAAAAATAGATATCCTTAATGCTTCTATAACTCTCAAATGATGAATAGTTTTGGAAAGACTGTCAGTACTATTCCAAGCGTTTGCTCAATGCAAAAATGCAAAGTCTCACAGGAAGGAACATTCTGCAGTGCTAAATACCCCAGCAATGAAAAAAAAATATATATTTAAACTGTTTTCAGTTTCACAGGGTCACAACCCAGACTGAAACGCACTTTGAGTGTTACTGGGTGATGTGCATGCACACACATGAGTCCAGAGCTGTCTCCATGAGAACCTGCTGGTTGAACCATGAGGTTCCTACAGCTCAGGGTAGAAATGTCTCCACCAGCCCAGTTCTGGGAAACAGCCTGCCCTTACAGTGCAAAGCTCCCCATGGGCTAATTAGCCAGGAACAAGGCAGATCAACCCAAGCAAGGCTTTGTCCTGCCCTGACTTACACCCCAGGGGCCTCCTGGCAGCCTGTCTGGAGGTCTAGTGTCTTCTCCCTGGGCTGCATCAGAGCCATACTGCTACAGGGACAAGGGCTTTACTGGTGTGCCCATCAAATGTGCCTTGGTGGGAGCTCTGAGCTGCAGCAGGGCAGATCTCAGTCGCTTCCCCTCATTACGGCACATTAGATCAAAAAGCAGATGAAATGGAAGTCTGGGGTAGGTGACTGAGGATGAAATCTGCCTGAGGGCGAACAACGGGGTAAGGTGAAGGAACAGTGACACAGTTACTCCACCTCTCCTCCCTGCTCCTGAGAAACTGAGCCCAGGCACAAGGCTGAGAAAAAGGAGGGGAAGCACTGTGGATCTCTAGTGTTCTGCAGTGGCTATGAAGAAAACTGAAAATATGTGGGAGCAATACCAATGTGGACTGGAACAGCTTTTATTGCTTATCTAGTGCAATGAAGGACAATACAAAAACCTCAGTGAGTATTTTCTTAAATTCAGATAGAGAGAGGATTCCGATTCAGCAAAGAACCCTGAAGTATGTATAATGACCTTCTCAGAAAAAGAAAATCTGTAGTTCATTTAACTTATTTTGTTTCAATTCCGTAATTATTAGGACTGAAAACTGGTTAGAATTCAATTCATTATGGCAGCAGCTTTAGAAATATTTTCCAAAGAGGTTCCATACTGCTCCTTACACAGTGTTCAGAACTGAGTAAAACTATGACAGAGCAAGAAAGAAGAAAGAAATCACAAAACTGCTAACTTACAGGATATAGGAAATTTTTTGAGACTGAACAGTGTTTGCACTTTGGAAAGATTTTGATGATTTCTTACAAGAAATACAAATATTTAAAGTAAAATACTTCAAAAGAGAGAAGTACTGTACTTCCCAAAGGAAGTACCCAGCCAAGTACAAAGACAGACTAAGCAGACACCTTTAATTGTGACACACTTCTAATGAAGCTGTTCTGCATTAGAGTGTCTGTTGTTTAACACAATCTGAGTGATGCAGGAAAGGACAGAAGTGATACAGCACACAAAACCACACGATTGAGTTAAACAGACCTGCACACATCTGAAAGATTACCTTCAGCCTCAGTTATACCACCATAAAAAAATACAAGAGAAAACACCTCAAAAAATGAGGGAATGCACAAAAAGATGTCCAGGGTCTATGCTTTATTTTAGAGAGGGGGAAATATGTTTATTTTTAAGTATACAGAATAACAGTTAGTATGAAAGACTGACCTGCCTGTTCCACGACCTGACAGTAAGGGTTTGGTGATGGAAACCCAGCATCGCCCAGTTCTCAATGAGCCACTGCTGCTGCCTTTACATGGCCACCGCCTTCAGCAACCTTCAGCAGAGGTCCAAAATCTGCTGACAAGGGGTTTATCTGCAGCTAGAGCTAAACTAGCCCTCTAAAGATCAAGGCTGAGCTAACAAAAGTCATTTTCTGTCAGCAGCAGAGTATCCACACTTGGGATTTTGCTGACAAAACCATGACAGCCAAAGGGCTGGGTGTTTTCCTATCGAGTGACGTTGGCAGAACTGTGTAGCACAGATTCAGTTTGAAAGGCTGAAAAACGAAATTTGTTCTGCTGAAGGTGGTTTGATAACTCCCAGCTGACCCCAGGAATCCACAAGCATGCACACCGCAATGCCAAGGCAGGAGTCAGAACACGGCAGGACAGAGTTTTCAAACGAAAAAAAAATTAGGTAAGTTACAAGCATATTGCTCCAGCTCAGAAAGTCACTAAGTGACAAGGTTAAATGATATTTTATAGACAACTTGATTTTATTAACCATCTCAGGGGATGCTCCTGCTTTTCTACCACCAACAGTACACTGGGCTACACGGGCCATTAGTCCAGTTGGGTTGGTAACCCCAACTTTGATGACAGTATAAACAAAACTGACATGTACTCTCTAGTTTTTTGGAGATGCAAACAGAAAGAAACAGTCAAGAAAAAGAAAAGTTAGAAAATAACACTGCATACATACGGCTCCAGTTACCCTCCACTCAAACTCAAAGCAGTGGCAAGACTCTTGAGTTATCTCATGAACTGCTTAATAAATAGAAAATGTGCAGGATACTGAAAGGCTCGATACATTGAGTAAAAATGTAAGGACTTTGCTTATGTCCGAAAACAAAAGGGTTAAGAAGCGTATACACCTTCTCGTTACTAAAATAGTTTTGTACTATGAATACTCAGTCCTCTTTTTCTCAGTGTTTCTCCATGCCTTTAAATTAGAGCTAAACACAACAGCTTTTTCAGTTTTCCAGTTGGTAGCTATACAGAAATGTCAGAACAAAAAGGTTGACTTTAGCCAAACGTTAAGGTGCTCAGTGACACCACTTTCCCCCATAACTTCTATACTGAACTCATTACTTTAGCCTGGATTAAAGCACATGTTACCACAAAAGAGTACGGAGGTATAGTTTTAATTTGAATAATCCTGTTTAGAGGCTGGTTCCATCTCTGGATATTGACTGTATGTTCTGTTTAGAAAAAATGAAGTCCTTGAAGTGGGAGGCTTCCCCCCATCACTGCAGCACAGAGAGCCAGTGTCCACTCACCACAGCCATGGAAAAGAGAGAGATGGATTTTTTCAGGGATACACCCAAAATGCTATATCTGTTTTTTTATTTTTAAGAACAGAGATCACTGAAACAGAAATGCCTTATAAACTACAGGTATGACTAAGAAATGAGAGGTTACACTTCTGTTGACAGAATGTAAAAATTTTATTTTCATCTACAGTAATATTCATAGACATTTTCCCAAATGCAAGCTAATTCTGTTACTTTCAAGAATAAATTAATATCTGCTGTCAAATAGCCTCTACATTTTTTGTACTGAAGCAGTATTTTTATGTACTAAAAAGTAATAACACCTCTGCATTTTGACATTTTCCACCCAGGGATCCTAATCCACTTTTGAGACAGAACATCTATTGTAATCTGGTTTATTACTAAGATGTATGGTACAGCCACTATGCACACACTTCATACCTTTGAAGGGAAGACATAAAGAATTATCAAAAAATGGAAACCATCACATAAATGCAATAATGCAAAGAATAGCACTGTAATCTATTCACCACGAAAAGCGATATAAATAAAACACACATGGCTAAGCAAATGTTTCAAGGAGGTTTTTATTAAATGATTGTATAGCCTGCCAGGATCTTTTGGAATTATACAGCCTATATTTATTAAACAAGATTTGTTACTGGAAAAGGTTTTAGGTGATTTACAGCCATATATTTACTGACAAGTACAACCCATTCAGAAATGTCTGTATATGCAAGGGAAAGAAAATCGATAATGGAAGCCTTTAAAAACAGGAATCCATTTTAAAAAACCCAAAATAATCATGTACATAAAAGTATAGAAGTGGTATTAATAAGAAAAGACTACTTTAGGTGTGATACACCTGCAGATGCCAAGTGTCACATGGGGAAAGCAGGAAAGGGCTGCTGCACAAGGACACGCCCAGCAGCACACACAGACCAGCTCCGGGTTCTGGCTACCCCACTAGACCAGAGGCAGCCTGGTGTTAGGTGTCCAACCTAGAGAAGCACCTCCTCCATCATTGTCAGAAGTGAGGATATGGGGAAGTCCTGAAGCCTCTCCTGGAGTTAAGCTGCTTTTTCTTTCCAAAATGCCCTGTGGCTCACCTCCTCTGAAAGCGTCCTAGGTCTCATGGTGGGGATTACTTTGGGTACATTATGATACCCTTAATTCACCAACTATCTTATTTGGTCTCTATTGCTACCATCATCATCATCATCATCATCTTCCAACAAAAAGCACAACCACCAGCTAGGGAAGTTCACATGGAGCAGGATACCTTCAATGGGAGAAACTCAAAATTGCTGGAGCCTTCAAACCTGCCCATGGTGCCTCCTCAGGGTGAAAGATGTGCTAATCAGTCAGCTTTCCTTCCTCATGGGCAAAGAGCTCTCTCAATCCTTCTTCATGGGGGAAGAGCTCTCCCAGCTGGGCTACTAACTGAACAGGAGGGAGCAAGGGAAAACTTCACTGCCATCTGTTGTGTTTGATGACTTATCCCTGGGGGTCTCTGAACAGCATTGCGATCAGACCAGGTAAGACTGATACAGACACACCTTTTGTATGGAGATAGGAGGGGTCCATTCCACCAGAGATGACACAGCAGCCTTGTGTGCTTTTAGTGCTCACCAAGATGCAATTTTAAGCAAATTAAGAAAACTAATGCCAATGTAAATGGCTAAATAAACCGATGCAGCTCCAAGCCTTCGACACATTACAGTGCCAGGAGTAAATGTAACTGAAAATGCAGGCGAAGATTTTTTTGGACTCCCACTGTACTTCCTAGGAGCACTGCCAACCTTGCAATTCAGGAATCAGGCACCACAGAAAGATATACGTCTTCAAACTGTTATTTCCATTTTTAAGGTTTCCCAAAGCAGTTTTACTTTGCTAAAGATAATAATTAAGTGGAAAAAATCACTAGTATTAAAGATGAATCAGGGGCTGGGTTGCTCTGAGATACTGTCAGAGCAAGCCATCTCTCGAATAAATGGGGAAAGCGAGAGGTTTGGAGGATTATGAACCAAAACAAATAACGTTTCCCCTCCATCCTTCCACCAGAAAATCTGTGGGTTGGTGGGGATTTCTGCCTTTCCTGTTCACAATCGACAAACCGACCTCGGGAAAACTACGAGTTGTAGCACCCGCTGCATGAGGGAGAGGGAGACTCCAGGAGATCCGGCACGACCCATGCTGGATGTTATCGAGAAATATCCCATCTCCGCTCCTCCGGTGAACTCCTCGTTTCCCTTCCTTCCCCGCACACGGCCCTCCCCGCCCGAGCGTCCTTCGTCCAAGGAGGGTCTCGGCAGAATCCCCGGCTGCACCGGGCAGGATCCCCGTCTGCAGGGCACGGCAGCACCGGGCAGGATCCCAGCTGCACAAGCAGGATCCCGGGCTGCAGGGCACGGCAGCACCGGGCTGGATCCCGGCCGCACACCGCGGCTCCGTTTCCCAGGCGCTCACAGCCTTTTGTAACCGCGAGATAATCTGTCAGATGGACTTAGGCACTGACAGTCAAACATGCCAAAAACGTCACCACCCACTCCTACTATCCATCCGGTGAAGGACTAGGAAGCTCCGCATTGCTTAACCTCTCCCCCGCCTTCCACTCGCACAGGAAATCCCCACCCCCCACGGCGTGACACCACCGCGGGGGACCCGCCGTGTCCCCCCCACCTCCCGCGGGGGCTCTGCGGGCGCCGTGCCCGCCGCGCTCGGCGCATCCCCGCCCGCACTCACCTCATCTTCCCGGCGGGGCGCGGCGGCGGCCGGGGCCGGACCGGGGCCGGGGGCGGGCGGCGGCGGCGGCGGCGGGACGGGGGGAGGCTCCGGCGGCGGCGCCGCCCCGGTGGCAGCGCCGGGCCCCGGGCGCTAGCCGGGCAGCGCGGCGGCGGGCAGCCCCTCCGCCGGCCCGGCCATGTTGCCGGCTCCCGCCCGGCTGCGCTGCCTGTGCCTGTGCCTGTGTGTGTGGGCAGGACAAAGCGCCGCCGCCGCCGCCCGCCCCGCGCCGCTCCGCTCCCACGCGCGGCGGGGCCGCGCCGCCCCCCCGCCCCGCCCCTCACCGCGCCGCCCCCGCCGCGGGTGGGCGGGGGGAGCCCCCCGGCCCCGCCCGGCCCCGCCCGGGGTCCCCCCGGCAGCGCAGGTGAGGTGGGAGCGGCCGCGCACCGGGAGCGGCACCGACCGGCGGATCGGGGCTCCTCCGCGCTCCCCTGCCCGTGCCCGTGCCGGGAACCAGGTCCCCGACCTGTTCCCGGCTGGAGCGGGGCGGTGCCGCGGTTGCAGAGCTCTCCTCTGCACAGTGCTGCGGGGGTCATGCACACCGGCGTTCAGAACCAGTGCTTTCGTGGAAGGGCGCAGGAGCAGGAATGGTGTTTCCAGCCAATATGGGAGGGCGGCTGTGCTTCGTGCTCCGTCCCCCTTCTCACATGTCCCTGTGAGTGTCCCTCTCACCTATGCGAGATCTCTCACCCTGCTGTCAGCCTCGTCCTTTCCCCATACCCACCCGTGGAGCCCCGGGCTGCCTCCCAGTCCTGTGCTTCTTCCATGCGACTCTCCTCCCCACTCCACATCCCAGTCCTGTCCCTGACACTCTGCTCTTCTCACAGACGTCTGGTCTCCCACCAGCTCCCTTGTCCAGCCTGAACCACAGGGTGATGATCTTCACCAGGTGCAGAGACTGGACCTTCACTTGTCCCTATCAATGTCTCTGCCTCTTCCTATGCACCACTCACTAGAAAAAGATTATGTTGAAAGTGGTATCACTTGGATATTCTCAAGGATCCAGTATGATAAGGGACAAAATTCTGCAGTTGTTTCTCAGGTCTTCGATATGTAGGTCACCACAACTTGACACTTCTCAAAAGTAATGGCTCTTCAAACTGTCTGTGAGTCCATCTCCCACAGGTCTCTCCCAGTTCTGCACCACCCAACTGGGACACAAAAAAACCCAACAACCACATAATCCCACAGCAAAGCAGTGGGTTTCCAGGCAGCTGGTGTGTGTGTGTGCACGCTGTGCTTGGAACAGCAATGGCTTCTGGCCCTCTCCCTCCCTCCATGTGTCTGTGTCCCAGTTAACACTGCTCCAATCACTCCCTGAGACTCACCTCCATCTGCACATGCCGTGAAGGGCAGGGAAGCTATACCCCTGTCTCTGTGTGCAGGGGCAGTTTTAGGAAGGTGCGAGCAGTGTGGCTGGGGAAGGTGGGCTGTGGGCAATGCCAGCGGCAGAGCCTCTGTGAGGGCTCAGGGGAATATGCCCACAGTGCATGGTATGGAGCAAAGCAGTGGGGGACATTTTTAATAGAAATACTTTACATTTTTATTTCCATTTCTCTGAAAAGTTTATATGCTCACACCAATACACCACTAATTTTTACTGTAGTAGTAACATGTGCCACAAGAATAAATGTTGCAAAGATCAAGACCATAGATTTGATGTCCTGAAGAGCTATTTCACTATTGGCTTGTCAAGCCTTGCTGCTGCCCACTGCAGCTCCATAGCAAATAGAATATATAACAATAACAACAACAATAATATGACAGCAACAAAACTCACGGTAGTAATAATGTTTTTATTCATTATTATGAATGGCCTTATTCAAGGCCATGCTTGTTTCTTGGTAGCTGATGCATAGCTGATAACTGCTGTTTTCAATTATCATTAAGATGTTAAAAAAATAATTAGGGTCAGAGTTACTGAATGGCCAGAAGGAGGGAACCCCCACCTCTTCTGTGCCTTGTAAGCACAGATCTCAGCTTGTGCCTTCCTTGTCCCATAGTAAGTCTGCACCATCCTCTTCCCAAGCCACCCCACCAATTAATCTAAGTTCACTTCAGACAGAGTCCCCTAAAGAAGCTGCTCCCCCTGTATCTAAGGGGTCTCCTTATTTGTTTGAACCCAAAACTTAGAGTTCTTTCTTATGAGCAATTACCCCAAATCTCCCAGAAGGCACAATATATATTGTTTGTATAAACAAACAACTGTGTCAGACCACAGATCTGATATGCAGTCTCCCCCAAGTGACAGTGGCTTGGAGAAACTCATCCACATAATTTGTGATGGGATTGCTGAAGGAAGCAAA